CCGACAGACACTTATAATAATATGCACACTTGGAAAAACATCTGTAATGTTTAAAAAAGCTTACAGGTATCAGAAAGTTCAACACGGTCTAAATTCTCTTAGGCTCTTTCTTGTAATTTACAAATCCTGGTGCATTTTACTTTATATAGTAACCATTGTATAGTATTTTAGCTTTTCTTGGCACAGTGTCTTCCTATTTATTTATTTATTTTTTCTATTTTTTTTTTTTTTTTCATTATATCTCTAATTCATATTTTATTTGTGTCCCTTGTACTGTGGTAACGAGTGATTTTCCCCAGTGTGGGATTAAATAGTCTCTATATCTGTTTTAGTCTTCAGGAATAGTTCTCCAGGCTTCTTTGAGGATATTTAAAGCTCTTCTTTGGGCTGCCTTTTGTTCCATTCTCTGTCAAGAAGATCCCACAGTAGTTCAGTAATGTTGAGTTGCGTACTCTGTGGAGGCCAGCCCATGACTGATAGTGATCCACTGTGTGTTCTTTTATCTGGGTATCCTTTATTGCATTGGCAGGAAGTTTAGAATCATTGTCATAATGAAAAATGAAGCTTTTGCCAATGAGATGTTTTCCAGGTGGTAGAACTGATGGTACTTTTCTGGGTTCATAACTCCATCAATTTTGACAAGATCATTACCATGATCACTTGCAGCCCCAAACCATGACATACTCCAAAAAGACCCGTTGTCACTGATCGTCAGCCTTTTCTCTGTTTTCCCTCTTCCCTATGAATGGCTTCTTGACAGCCACCCTTTCACTGAGACCATTTCTGATGAGGCTTCAGTAAACAGTAGATGGATCAACTGAAGGGACAGATGTAGAGGATCTTTGTCCCTATTTCTTAAAGAAATTACTATCAAATACTGTTCATCTGCTGTGGATAGATTTTAAGGTGTGCTACTTCTTCTGCCCTCCATTGGTTCAGTTTCCTCGAATTCCAAGCTATGTACACCATCCTAAAATATGTCACATTTTGGAAAATGTTTTTTTTTTTTTGCTTTTTTTTTTTGGCTTTTTTCTTTTGGTTAAGGCCAATTTTTTTTTTTTTGTTCCGGGTTGTTGGCACCAAGTTGCTTAAAATTCCATTTTCAAAGGGTTTTTTTGCCAGTTTTTTTTTATTCTTTTTGGCTTGTTTCTTCCTTTGGTTTGGTTGCCTTTTTTTTGTTTGATTGTTTCTTGGTTCGTTTTTAATTTCTTTTAAAAAATGAAACATTCCTCTGAAAATGGTCAGGTACAAGGACTGGACTGAAAATGACTGAAAAAGCAGTCATTGTCCAAAGAATAACTTTAAAAATGACAAGATAGTCTGTTTTCTTGGAAGCAAAATATAAAGGAATTAGGGGTGGCTAAAGACTTCCGCTCAGTACTGTAGATCAACAATTTAAGAATAGAAGCTCTCATTGTGAAAATGATATAATTACAACTATTGTATATCACCTCACTTATTTTGCGAAAACACTAACCAGCTTCATTTAGACCTTGTATAATTAAGTTCAGACATATACATTAAAACTTAACTTAAAAAAAATACAGATACCACTATTATAAAACAAAGGGGTTTACCATTCTAACCTGCTTTCCACTGAACAATAGAAAGACCATCCTTCTTTGCAATTATAATGACATCAAATGGCGCATCCCATGGGTTTGTTTATCTTCTTTATCCAAAACAATTTTTCAACTTGGCACTTGCCAGGATCTTTAAATGCCGTTTCTAAAGCGCTTAGTCGACCCTAATAACTGAGAAGGGATTAAGAATATTAATACTGCATTCTAATCCTTGTTATCGTGTTCTTAACACAAAAAGAGCAAATCCAAGCAAGTGTTTTATTTCAATATAATGAAAGTGATTGTGGCAAAGTGTCTGCTTAGAAAGAAGCGGGGCAAAAAGGGAGGATCATGAAGCGATCACTAAAAAGGCCAAGATACAAACACAAAGAAAAATAACAATCGGGGTCAAAAGAGATTAAATTGTTGTTGTTGTTGTTGTTGTTGCTCAATGGGGCTCAGGGTATAAGGGTGGGCAGGAGGTCATGTTTCCTTGTCATCTTAAAAAGCGATTTCTATTCCGCCTAGGACACAATAAACCATAATAACAGAAAAAAACTCATCAATAACGGCAACATGTACCCCACCCCACAATCCTCCCATAGCGGCGCGTATTTAAAATCATTGCTGTGTTTTTGTCAAAGCCCTCTGGTGAAGAATATCCACTTGAATGAACACTTAAGTCATTAAAGGAGAAACACATTGCAAATTGTATGAAATATGAAAGGCTGATACCAAATTACCCAAAAGCAAACCATCTGACAAAGCTCCGAAAATTGATTCCTGATAAATTTGCAAGAAAATTGTGCATTTGTTCTCTTGTTTGGTTGTTCTGTTAACTTGTTTTTGCCATTTCGCAATACACTTTGCGTGATTGAAATAATGTTATTAATGACACACAAGTTCAATAACGTTATAAACGACACATGATTCCTGAAATGAAAAGCAATTAAGATTTAATGCCTCTGTGATGCGGCCTCTTATCCAAAATGTCTGCACAAAATAAAAGCATTTTCCTTTTCATTCTGACTGTCACTCTCACTCCATTCTTTTTTCTCCGTGTTTTCAGCCTCTCGCCAGTCACGATTTATTCCACAGGAAACAAATTACAGGCAAATCACAAGCGACAGCAATAACTCAATGACAGATTTCAAGAGAAGCAATATGTCAAGATAGAGGATGTATTTGTAAGGATAAAATGAACTTGGGCCATAATATGCACCTTTTGAGAACAAAATAATTTTCCTTGATGACTTGCAGTTGGTCGTCAATTGCAAGTTCATTTTTTCCAAAAGCAATTTCAACTGAAGTGATGATGTTGATGAAATTGTAGCCCCTATCAAAGCACTTCTAAAAGTTAATACAGGTTGGCGAATGTGTAATGCATGTGGAGTGTAACGTCGGTCATCCATTACACATGCAGTGCATTTTCGACAAGCACTGCACAACATGCGGCGTTAACCTCCGCATCAAACTTCAATCAGCGTCGTCACCCCTCTAACCTCCCCTCCAACACTTGAACCTGAGTAGATAGCTGTGAAAACGCGGTCCATTCAGCAATTATTCACAGAGTCTTGGACTAATGGTGCTCTGAATGCACAGACACAGCAAATGTAGGGAGTTAGTGGACCAGCAGTAATGGCCCCATGCAGAGCATGCGTTTTTCTGTGTGTGTGTGTGTGTGTGTGTGTAGCGAGGTTTCTGGGGGGAAGGGGGCAGGCATCATCTATAACAGATTCACAACAAGCTCAAACATGTCTAATTCTGAATCCAGATTACAACTGCAGAGGACAGCTCACTCCCCCCTTCTCCACCCCTCACTCTCACTCTCTGCGTCTCTTCTTCTCCTTCTTCTTCTCCCTCTCGGTCACTCCCGCCTGAGCCGGGCTTCATATCAGGCAGATGAAAACATAACCTGTCACATTCCATCCCATTAAACCAGCAACAAACCATGTGGTCTACTCACATGGAGGAGCTAGGAAAGGCAGCGAGATAGACAGAGGGAGCAGTGCATCTGGGTTCGCACAGAAGTGATGAATTATTCACAATCTTTATGCTAATGTCATTTTAATGTAAGAAACACTGAAAGATATGCAGATATGAGACCCACCGTGCAAAGTGGCATGCTCACTATAAGCTTACACCACGCACGACAGGAATTAGAAATATATTTATAACCATCCATACTGCGCATACTGTACTCAAATATAAAATGTGTAATTATCCTCTGCAGTACCTAATGCATTAGAGCACTCACACTGAGCCCCCAAATCTCTCCTGTGCTTTTTCTTTTTTTCAAGAGAAGTACATCAGCTGCCATTTGATGTCAGGCAGAGCAGGGTAATGACAGTGCACTCACTTGTGCAGTCATTAGCCCCGCTTAATGCTGGGAATTAACACAAATTAAGTGAAGTTAAGTACATGCATTAGGGGAGCTTGTTTGGGGAGAGCTTTTCACTTTTTCTGCGTAGAGCTGGCTTATTTCTGGGATGTTGAGCAAAAAGGCTGCACGGAAAGAGAGACACAAAAGTGAAGTGCAAACATCCTCCTTCAGCTTACAGCATACAGGTCAAAACTCACTGACTGATTAGCAGTGTTAATGGAGCTCTAAGGACACCTAGTGGTCATGTTAACACCACCAATGCGTAATCTCTGCAGCGAACACTGTGTCTTTTAAACTGGCAATTTCATAATTATATTCCTTTGTGTAATTTTGCACAAATTTTGTTATAAAACCTCAAGTTGCTATGTTGATCTAATGTATGATAGTCAGCAGAGCAACTGTGAAAGCAATGAAGCTTTTCATTTAAATGTTTCCCGTTGCAGTAAAGAGTTTTTACTTCACATATTTATGCCTTATGTGCCTTATTCAGACTGGTGTTTTTGTTGACTGTGGCACCGCTAGATTATGCCAACAGGAAAACAGGAAGAATATATTTTAATGCTCCACTGAGCTAACATCATAAACACAAAGTGGAGTGGGTTCATTACAACACAGGAGATTTGCCCGTTAGAGACGAAACTGCTGTGGGCTTTTCGAAAAGAGGCTAACATGATGAAACTGACAATCTCTGAAATCCATTTGGACCTTATTCAAGATTATATCTTTATCTGAGCGACTGCAGATTATTGTCCACAGAGAGGTGTGCTAAAGCTGGATTATCCACTTGTTGGGGATGCAGCTGACCCGATGGACGCGGCATGCCAGCCTCACACGCCCTTACATCTGTGTGTTTTTTCAACTTGTTTGCAAAAGATGAGATGGCATTCAAAATGACACCAAAACCTCTCATCCTCAGATTACCATGGTTAGTGATCCGCATATGTGGATAAAAAAATGAAGTCTCAATCATTATATATGCATTTGAGAGGAAGGCACGACATGTGCCCCCCCCCCCCCCCCCCGCCCCCAAACAGCCTAATTTACATCAGAGGCAGTTCAGTTTAAAGTGCTGCTTGTATTAACTAATAGTAATTTATTAAAACATACAAAAATCCCACCATTTAGATACACATAGATTATTGTTATTGTCATTAATTTCACACCAGGACATAAAAACACACAACAGCGATGGCCGCCATATGTGTTCACCTCATGTTCCACCTCTTCTGATTCCTACTGGGGTGGAAGTCTATCGCCATTTGGGAATCTGGAATACAACAAGTGTACACAAACTTTTAGTTTACTCTGAGTTCTTTTTTAAAGTTTTCCATCAGGAAAAATAAGGAGAAAAAAATTCAGATATACACTGTTTTTTTCTTTTACCAATCTGCTGTCTTGTTCTTGTTGTCTGTTCCCAGCAGTGGTTGGAATGTTGCTTCCTGTTCTTCGGTTGTGTCTGAAGTAAATATCAGTTTGGCCACTTTGAGCAGCGTTACTGTGTTTGTGCTTCTTACCTGGGTGGGGAGTTAATACAGGCGTAATATAAGATATCACTGAAACGTCTATCATTCTTACTGCGGCAGAGCACAAAGGAGAACAGCTAATCTCTATATAACAAGTTACATATGGCAGCTGAAAACAAGGTATTTTTACATCAAGAAGAAAAAGAAACCCAATTCCAAGACCTTAGGAAACTGTGTAAAACTAAAAACCGATTACAACAATTTACAAACCCCATAAACCAATAATTTTATTTACCGCAGAACACAGTAAATATCTCAAATGTTTAAAATGAGAAAATTAAAAATTTTAAGGAAAAATGTTTTCAAATTTTGAAAGTGATAGGAGCAACATCTCTGACAAAAGAAAATTGGTAGAAAGGCAATAAAAGGCTGGAAAAAGTAAGTGGTACTAAGAAAAAACAGATGGAGGAACATTTTGCAACAATTTTACCAATCTACAAAAAAACTCAACACAAAATTAAGAAGACTTTTAATATCTCATCGTCTACTGTACATAATATCAACAAAAGATTCTGAAATTCCAGAGAAATCTCTGTGCGCAACAGATAAGGCTGAAAATATTAGATGCTTGTGATCTTCAGGCCCTCGGGTGGCACTGCATTAAAAACGGACATGATTATATCATGGAAATCACTGCATGGGCTTAGGAATGCTTCCTGAAATCATTGACTGTGAACACAGTTCACTCCGCCATCCGCAAATGCAGATCAAAGCTCTATCACGCAAACAAGAATCCATTTGTGAACATGAGCCGTCTTCTCTGGGCCGAAGCTCTTTTAAAATGAACTGAGGCAAATTATAAAACTGTTCTGTGGTCAGAGGAATCCAAATTTTACATTCTTTTTAGAAAGCAAGGATGAAAAATCCTCCAGAGTAAGGAGGGGAAAGACAATCAACACTCAGTTCAAAAGCCTCCATTCGGGTTTTAGAGCAACATATGCACCTATCCAGACATCTTTTCAGCAAGACAATGCTAAACCACATACTGAACCTATTACAACAGCACAGCTTCATAGTAGAAGAATGTAGTGCTGAACTGGCCAGCCTGCTGTCCAGACGTTTCACCAATTGAAAAGATCTGGTGCACCATAAAACCAAAAATCAAACATCTCAGCAGATCCAGGACTATTCAGTGATATATTTGTCTCCCAAATGTCAAGCAAGTGATGTAGACATCAGTTCCCAGATGTTTATAGACTGTTGTTAAAAGAAGACCAAGGGCTACACAGTGGTAAACATGGACCTGTCCCAACATTTTTAAATTGTGTTGCTGCCATCAAATTGAAGAGAATCTTTTTCTTGAATGGTACATTTTCTTATTTTAAAACTCTGATGTGTTTTCTGTGATCACATTTTATTCTATTTAGACTTTACACAGCATCCCAACTTTTTTGGATTTGGGTTTGTATGTTATACTCACATTTGTATGTGTAATGGTCTTCGTCTATGTTATTTTGCAGGACATTGTGCCCGTGCATCACATTCTGCGGCCCTCCGCTTACATTCATTACTCTTAGAGTGGGGTTGTGGGGCACGAGCAGTCCAGGTAGGTTAACTTCACTTGTAGGAAGGAGAGCTCCGGGATGATGGGAGTATGGCTTTAAAAAACAAGGAGGGAATAAGGAAAATGGACATAATTCTCCAGGACAGAACTGATGTGAAGCATAACATGCAAACATGATCTATTAAGTCTATCTAAGTTCCTCACTAGTATATGTATCCTAACATAAAACATTTTTTCTCCACTTTTCTATCTCTGCTGCTGTCCACGGCCCATGCAATGTGTCCACTACACCCTACACACTTGCCAGGGGACTGGGGATTAGATTGCTTGCTGTTCCACATATATAAGCATCTTATAGGCCAACAGTAATTACTACGCATAAATAACAACATTTACATTCAAGCAAAGCAGCTACAGGCACAGATTGAGAGTGACAACTCAGATGGCATTCATGAGAGTCAACAGAGGGAGGGCTGCATTTGTGTTTTTAATGAGAAAACCCAGGATCTCTGCTCATTTCCATACTTACGTCTAACAAGCAGAGGGGGGTCGTGTTGACCTGGCTAATAGGGGGTAAATCCACTGGTGCATTATCGGCCGGGCACATTTCATCTAATCAGCAGGATGATGCTAGCAGGCTTAGACCGCTTTTAATTCAGTGCTGCGGGAGAATTACTGTCCCGGTTTCTCATTACATGAACATTAAATCAGTCATACTAATATCAGTCATACTATTCAGGGTGGCTGTGGTTTGGATGTTGGCATTTTGACTCTTCCAGCTGGACTACATCTTTCATGATAAGGCCCATTATGGCATTTTGCATACACAGTGTCTTCATTTGTACATTTGTAATTCAGTCAGAATTAAAATTCCACTAAAGTACAGTAGGAGAGGATAGGGGTTCGTATCTCAGCTATACGCTAACCTTACATGTATTTCCAAAGACTGAGGTCAAGAGTGTCTCCCACCTCTCTTAGAAACAAAACAGAGGGAAATTGGAGTTTTGCTGGCTCAAAGCAAGAGTTAAAATGTATCTTAAACATAATCTTTGGAAGAAAAAATTACTGTGTAACATTTAACAGGTGTGACGACCCTACACATTGGATCGAGCATGCATTTGTACAGTTCTCACTGATGAATCAGCATTGAGTAGTTCCACCCTGGTTCTTTCCTCCAGAGTGATGTCCACACCATCCAGGACCTGCAGCTGGGGCAGGCAAAGCACCACTGCTGGTCTGTGGACAGAATTGCGTGCCACCTGAAAAACAAAACAAACAAAAAAAAAAGACAAACAAATGTTTGGTTAAACAGTCTGGTTATCAACCACTCCTCAGAAATATTAATTCTGGAGATGAGCACAGTCTGCTTTGAGGCATCTGGGATAATTATGATGCTATGTGGCTCCCAGTGTATTTACTATGTTCCCAGCAGCTATTCCAGTGACCCAGCTGACAGCAGCACATAGGTCCCTTCCCAGCTGAGGGCACCCTGTATGCCAGGCTATACACCCAGCCTGTACAGCCACAGAACTGCCTGTTCCTGCAGGACACTTTTGCTTTGATGAGGTTGTGAGTGCATGCCAAATGATGTCCATTGAAAAAGGAGGAGACAGACTTTGGCTAGGGAACATAGCTAAAGGATCTCATGCGGTCAACAGCAGGAGGTATTGTCTCCAGGGTGGCTGTTGGCCTCTACCCCCTGGCAGGATTAACCCCACTACCACCACCACCCCCACCGCATGGGAACAGAAGGGGGATGAGATCGAGCAGTAAAGAGGCTACCGCAGCTGAGCATTACCCAGTGGACAATAGACAGGCTCTGGGCTGCAGGCTCTGCTAAGGCCTGCATGAGCTCCAGATGGGTGATGTAACAGGGCCAATAGCACACAGCCATTTGGTCAACAAATTTGTCTCTGATGCCAGCCAGTTTGAGGCACAGCAGACGGTCCATCGTGTAATCACTTAATTTGGAACCACAGAATTACCCTGTGTTAGTGTATCGGATTGTGAAAGTGAGAACTCGGCGTGCTTTTGATCATTTGTTCAAGAGATCGTGAGTTCAAGATATGTTCTGTGACTGACAGCAAGTGGATGCAAATAAAGACAGAACCCACCTAATGGACAGACTGCTTATAAAACTTGTTAATACTCACAGGATTGCCAACAACAGAGAGCTCCTTCAGTGAGGGAAGAGCTTCTAATTTGTCAAGCTCTGCGATGTCCTGCAAAGAAGTAGAGAGGCAAAGATTATTTCAAAGTTTAGCTGTTCCTTGCTATGTGTTGATAACAGAGGCATTTACATCAGGGCTGAACCTTTCATAATTTTGGTGTGGGCAGGATGGAAGCAGCTGATGGGAGAGATTACATGTGTGAGCCCTCATTAATCTCATGAGAGACTTTGGGCACGCAACAGGCCATAGGGATGTTTTCTCTCATTCCCAGCTTTATACTCGGACTTGGCTGTGATTCAAAGATGCCCCCACTGTGAGGACTAACGCTCTGGATGATTGCTTTATTTCTATGTCTTAATTGAATGCGTGAAAACATTAAGGAAGTGATGGGAAGAAGGAACCGGCAACAAAAGTGCAAATCACTTGCTCTGTGTGAGGAGATGCAGCCCGAGAAGCTGATTACACGTTGTCCTGATTGTTCCCCCTGATTCTTTATACACACGGCCGTGACCTTCAATCAAACTTGATTCTCCTTAATGCGACCCCTTGCATGCCACAGTGGGTAGTAATGACTCATGATTACTATACTTCAAGTCTTACTTTGCAAATGCAGGGAAAAGTAATACTGCTGCACAGTGAACAAAATACATCTGACACATGTGAACCAATCAGTAAAAGTTGGTAGTAAATCGCAAAACTGCACAAAAGATGGCTGTGACCTCGGCGATGACCTCAAGAAATCACGGCGTTCTGAGTTATTCAGGCAGTTTAATTGAATATGCCGTTTCATTAAAATTGTGAATATAAACATTTTTTAAAAATCTAGCATGCGAGGAGGCTGCTACTACTACCTCTGCTGAAGCTGAATACCTGCAGCTTGTTCATGTCGAGGGAGAGCTTGTGAAGCTCAATCAGAGGATCGAGATGGTTCAGCTCCCGGATCCGGTTCTGTGCCAGGTGCAGCTGTAGGAGGAGAGCCTGGGCTGCGAAAGAGTTCTTGGTCAGAGTTTTAATCCGGTTTCTGTTCAACACAAGCTCTCTGAGTTGGTGAAGCCCTTCCAAGCCTTCCACTTGGCTTATCTCATTGCCTGTTGAGAGACCAAACTTTAGAAAATCAAAACAAACACACATCCCAAACAGTACCCTAATATTTCTATATACTAACTACTAGAGTAAATTGCACACCCTGAAGAATATAAAAGGCAGAATTTTAGGCCCATATAAACACTTCTTGGGTATTTCTTGCTTGACTCTGCTGTAAACAGTGCTGAAATTACAAACCAAGCTTCCAAAGGTTTCTAAGAAAGAAAAGTAGGGTTGGCTTTGTGGGACAAATCACCCCGGCAAAGCAAAACTCAATCAAAAGCCATCAAAAGCTGTTGAAAAGAAAGTCAATCATTCTTTTCTTTGCGTCTCATCCCCCACCTGGCCTTAGGTCTATAGGGGAGACTTTGCTCTTTGCGCTTGCCTTTTCACAGCCTCTGTGTAGTGCACTTTTAAACGGCTCGCAGAGAAAAGGGTGGCAACGTCAACCATACATACCTTCGAGGAAGAGTGCTTTAAGATTGGTGAGCCTGCTGAGCTGCAGATTGGCCATATTGGAGATGCCATTGTGACTCAAATGAAGCACCTCCAGGCTTCCCATCAGTGGCTCCAGGCTGCCAGTGGGCCCAGTATCCCTTAAACGCAGTTAGAGAAAGGCCGTTTGAAACCTCGGTGGTTAAATGAGCACCTCGCTGTCCCTCCCGCTGCCACGTCTAACTGGTCAGACCTCACAGGTGCAGACCACATCAAGGCAATCACAGTCTGGCTAAACAAATGGATGGCTCTCACACCACTACATTGTGTAGTGGTTCTGCACAACAAATATTTCATCTAAAGTTTATATTAATCTACAGACTAAATAGGTTTTAATTGTTTAGTTTATTGTAGTCTTTACCTCAAAGGAAATGACCCATTTTGCTTACTTTTTTTTATATTAAAAAAGAATTTCTCTGACTGAAACTCTGACTACAAATAAATTCATCATAGTTTGCCAGCAGCTTCTGTTAAATTTAAGGCAGCTCACACATTGGCTGGTCAGTGCTGCCCCCTCATGGTTAGACTGCACAAAACTCTATTGAAATACTTTTAAAAGAAGCTTGTTTTTGCACAAAACCCATAAATAAAACTACACTAGATTACCTGGTGGCTTTAGATGTGCTCTGTTGGCTGTAGCCACTGGAGTGCACTTTGCTGTATAGTATCTGTCTGCTTGTCAGATGAGTCTGAGTCTTCTGCCTGGGCAGAATTGACTCTATGTGGTTATAGTTGAGACACAGAGCCTGTAAAGAATACAACATAAATTATTTCTTTGAACATGCTGCATTTCCAGCCAGTGTATTACAGTGTGTTGGCATTTGGTGCACTGTGTACTTTGATGTTGGGCAGGTGGATGAGGCCTGAGAAGGATGTGAGGTTGCTATGGTCTAAGTTGATGCAGCGCACATTACGGAAGAGTTCTGGTGGAGACAGATCAACTATCCTGTGGGAAGAAAAGATATTTTTAAGGCTTTATCGTTCTTTATAATCTGTTTTATTACAACACTGTTATTACCTAATGGAACAGGACTGAAGGTTTAGGTGTGTGATTTTTGTGTAGTTTGAGTGGCCCAGCTTCTCTGCCACTGTGTCGGTGGTCAATCTTCCCATAAACATATTCTTTGCGCTCTCACACTCACTTGCTTCCTAGAGAAAACAGCAGAAAAGAAGAGCAATTACAAAATACTGGAAACAACCGCTGTAATATGACTTTTTAAGCTCATACCACTGCAATTCCATCCAGAGCTTTGAGGAAGGGGAGATGAAACACTACATATATTCGATAGTTTTCCAGTTTCTCCACTAAAGGGTTCCCACAGAGATCCAGGATGAGGAGGTTTGTCAATCCCTGAAAAGCAAAATGGTCACATAAGCTCACATAGTAAAATTAATTAAAATTAAATTCTACTCTTCTTATTTCACCTTCTCATCCATTTTTAAATGTTAACTAGACGCTCACTTTCAGACAGTAGATGTCTCTTGATGTAGAGATCTGGTTGCTGCCGATGTAAAGTTCAAAGAGAGACCGAAGTCTCTGGATGCCATGAAGAGAAGCAATACAGTTGTTCTCAGCTGACAGAAAAGACAAGCTGGACAGCCCGTCGAGCGTTGAGACGTCCAGACTGGTTAGCCAATTCCCATCTACACTCAGTTTATTTAGGCAATGGAGTCGTGTGAGGCCTGAGGAAACAGTGACCAAATACAGACATGGAAACAATGACGGCACTGTGCTATGTGTGATTTCTCCTTGGGAAGCGGAGAGTGCAACTGACCACTGAGTGTGCAAATACTGTTGTTGTTTAGGGACAGTTCTTCCAGCTTCAGGCAGTTGTCCAGACCCTCGACTTTTGAGATCTCGTTATCATTAAAGGAGGCCCAGCGCAGGTTCACCAGCTTACTTAGATTGATCATCTTGGAAATCCTCTGGTTGTCAAGGTTCAGGGTGGTGATCTGGTCAGCAATTTGGTAGACACAAAAGGTAACAAAGTTCAACATCATCCCACCTAGTACCGCTCCTAAAAACGTCTTTACTGAGAAGCCCACATGCTGAAGCTCACTTTTGCAGTCCAGTCTTGGTCCAGTTCTTTACCAAAGCCCCAGGGTGATGGACTCAAATGATACAGGAGCTGGGCTGTTGACAGCAGACTAAGAGTGCGGGGACGGTCACTCTTGGTACGCGAGTGTGCCAGAAGAGACGCCTACGAGCAGTGTCAACGAGTCTGATTGAATTACCATACTTCACTTAAAACATTTACTTTAATCCATCAATTTTGGATTTGTTCATATAAACAACGTCTCTTTACATAGATCAGCTCAACCAAATAAAATCTAGTATATAAGAAGGAATATTGACAAAATCTTCACCTGGTTAATTTTGGACCCAGCTGTCATCTGAACAGCTTCAGCAGCCTCCTCCTCTGCTACCAGCACATCATCCAGGTGTGTGAGGTTCATGAGATGGCCTAGTATGGTCATTCTGACTGCCTCGGGCTGGAAGAAGGGAAACATCTTCACTCAGTCACTTCTACAATTTGAGGCCACTTTCAGTGGTATAGTTTGAAACAGATTCATATTTTAACATATATATTCTGAGCATATACGTAGTATTATTATTGCTGAGGTTCAACCTTGAATATTTTGAGTTATTTTTTCTATTTGATCACAGCACACACCCTGTTCCAAGGATTGTTTCGGGTGTCCAGTTTCAGCAGAGCAGGTGTGTGTTTTCTGAGCACAGCCGTATCCTCTCTGACCTTGGTCAGCTTGTTCCAGCGCACATCGAGTTGTTTGAGCTGTCCCAGCCCCCGCAGACCTTCCAGAGTCACCAGGTGGTTAAAGCTAGCGTCCAAAAACTCAAGATTTGGCTGTAGTTTAGGTAAGAGAGCAGGTGAGAGTTCCACTTTATGGCTATGCAGCCACTATTCAGTTTCACAAATAATAGAGAGGGACATCATAAAAGAAGCATTCTTTGACTTAAACACACTCTTAAGTGTTATCTTAACATTATTTTGTATTACCATGTGAGAAATGTCATCAAGGTGCGTGAACTCATTGAAGCTGACAGTAAGATGCCTTAGAGCCGTGAGGCTGGAAATCTCCTTTATGTTGCTCAGGCTGTTGCCATGAAGGTTAAGCACCTGGAGATTCAATGCAACAATGATGGTTCAAACTGAAATGAAACTGCTTCATATTCAACCTCTTATTTAAAACGGCAGAGCACTTACTGTGATTTGACTGAGGACATTGGCTCGGGCAACACTAAGCAGAATTTTATCATCCAAGCTCAATAACTTGGGCTGAGGTTTAAGAACAGGTTCCCTGTTGAGGACTTCTTTGTCCAGAGCAACATCATTGGTAGGATCTCTGTCTGTGCTATGGCTCAGCAGTGTAGGTTTGTCTTTGTCCTAGACAAGGCAAATCAAAATGTTTACATCATGTACTGCCACCAGATGCATTTTTTTTAACTTATTTTTTAAATTAATATTATAATTAATTAATATGACAACTATATAGATAGGTGGGGAGCAACCAACACATACTCATCATAATTCATGCACAGAAACATAACCTGCACAAAGAATTGCAATTTTATGTTTCTAAACTCTTAGTTTAGTTTAGTTTCCCACAATCAAGGGATGTAGCGCAAAAACTGCATCTCAGCTGTCTGATCTCCAACTTCAATAAAAAAATGTCCTTCATCTATTTAGAGGCTTCCAACCAATGCAGCTGACTCTTAGAAATAATGACGGCGCATATTTTAGATCTGTCACAGGCAGCAGATGAATAACCTGGTCTGTACAGACAAAAGCAAACATATTACATGTCAATAATTGAAGATCCAAAAGTCAAACTCCAGATCTGCCCTCATTTTTTCTGAATAGGAACTTTAAGTGCTTGATCTATGGCATGCAATTCACGATGAATGCGTTGAAGGTAAGCTGAGGTTCAGTACCTTGCCCACGAAAAACATGGGCATCACCAAATTTGTGATTACTAAATAACCTGCACTTCCTAAATCACAGCGATTGAAACTGAGATTTAGGCATGTTATCGCTTTAAACAATGCAGCAATTTTTCAATATCTAAATATTAAAAGATGAAGAAACACCTCCACAGAGAACAATTGCGTTTCATCTGTAACAGTCAAAGGAATGTATGCAATAATTTACCTGAGTGATGTATTCATAATATATGATGTACTCGGGCAGGACAAGCTCGTGGTCAAACACAAACCACTGCCTTCGGCGGGGACTGGACTCAAGATCAGTGTGTGTTTTGGTGGAGCCGGGTCTTTCTGAATGAAAAGGACACCGAGATGTAAAAATAATTGGGAGTGAAGAAATAAGCAACAACAATTACAAAAAAGGCAACTGCTGTTGTTCCTTTTAATTCAGTGAATACCTTCACTCATTGCAGATCTGTGCTTTGTCTCCACACTGCGATACACAGAGTAAACTCCAGGATAATTGCTTCTGTCCACCGGTTCTCCATCTCGGATGGGCATGCTTTTACCCACGAACACTTTGGAAACATTGACCTGACCTACAAGCAAAAGAGCATTAGCAGTTTAGCTTCTAAAAAAACAGCATAAAAACATAATGAAATGAATGAAATCAGTAAAATGACCTCACCGTGCCTGAAGGGAATCGTATCCATGCTGTGTTTAGTGTGACCTTGGCTGGTCTGGCGAAGTGTGTACTCAATTCTGGACTGCTCGTTCAAACTCAGGCTATTGGAAAAAGGTATAGCACCCTCTTTTCCCATGGCCTAATTTAAGTCATTGCGTAAAAAAATGAAAGCGTGAGAATAACACAAGCATATTCTTCTGTAACCCTAATGTGGTTACCTCTCCATACAGACACAAATCAAGTTTAGTTAAAGTTTCACACAAATAGAAATTTCCCTCATTTTAGTATTCATTGCAATCTGCTCCATAAATGAGCGTGATAATTTTTTTTTGCACATATCGTTTACTGCACTGTGTACAAGTGTGCAGGTGTTGAGTGGTAAACTGTCTAATGTGTGGCTAATTAGCTTCAATTACTCCCCCAATTGTTAGTAGTATAAATGTGTGTGATAGGAGCTTGTGCATCCTTTCTGGTAGTACACATACCTTCTGCTGCTCTGTTGTTTTGAAGCCTTCCTGGAGAATCTGCAAAGTTTCATCCTTCTCACATTTTTCAGGGTCAACTATGTAGAATAAATACTCCAGCTGACGTCTGTAATTCCTGCTTAGAAAGAATAGAGTTACAGTATGAAGCTTAACATAGTCGTTAAAATCTGCTCATCATCTGTTTCGTGCCTTACTGGGAAGATAAATCTTCGTTGGCTAGCAAACGGTGAATCTTGTCCTCAAAGCAAAGTCTCAGTGCACTATTGTGGATGCGGATAACTCTATCCACCCTAATATCAGTGATGCCATACGTTTTGTAGTCTGATGGAGAGAAGCGGGAAAGTAGGAGGTCACAACAAGAAGTAAACCTGTCGGTCAGAGAAAAAGAAAAATTAAGAAGAAGAGTATATTTCCCATTTGTTACTGTGAATTGCATAGTGGTTACAGTTACAGTGGATGATACTGAACAGTAAAAGTACCAAGGATCTGTGGAGCAGCCCTCCTCCAAACGGATATTTCCAACACTTTCTAGCTCCATCAGTAGAAACTGCACCGTATACTCCATCCTATTTGTGGCTCGGGCCAAATCACGCTCGTACCAGATGTGAATCCTGAATATAAGATTAGGAACATCAATTTTTCAGATTAAAAGTTTCAGTTTAGCTCTGTGCTGTCCCCTAAGAGATCAATTTACATAAAGCAATAATACACTGTCTCTGTATCTCATCAAAAATGCAAACTCACTCATCTAGCCTCCTGGTCCATAGTTTGAGTCGTTTCCTCAGCGCTTCAATCTTAGCGTGTACTTTGTGCTCCGTGGCTGGATCCTGACTTATGTCACTGATTGATTCATTTCTTTCTGTTAAGTCTTCATCCAGGTGTGGTGGCCCTTCTTCTACGCTTTCTGACAGGCAGGTAGGTTTCTTGCAAACAACTGGCCCCACGGAGAGCTCACGTTCGAGCTAGAAATGCATCCAAATTATAATCGTTCCGTGCACACAAACACCTGAAGCTTTTTAGAGCTGCTACAAAAAAACATTTTATGGAGAGTACATACAAATTTAAGGGCACGAGTGAGAGTCTTGATGCATTCTTCAGGTGACTGCGATAGAGTTTTCTTCCTCTCTATAAGACTGAGCCGGGTCTCTGCTAGTTTCCTCTGAGCTGTGCGTACACGCATATTGTAGTACATCCTTTTTTTCATCACTGCAGACTAAAAGAAAAATGAAAAAAAAATCTTATTTCAGGCTAAAACAAAATAATAGATGCATCAAATATAACTGTTAAATATCTTTGTAAAAACAAAAATATCAAATGTGGCAGATTAAAGAAAGAAAAAAGAAAAACAAGAAAACAAAATACATCCACTAAAAAACATAGCTTGTTTTTATAGAAACCTAGAAGAAATACCATAAGGCAGGGGTGTCAAACATAAGGCACAGGGGCCAGAATCAGCCCACCAAAGACTACAAACTTGCCCACTGAATGGCTCTGGAAATGTGAAGGACATACATTTTCGAATTTTAACTGTATTTTTAAAAGTTTTGCAGCTTTTAATACAGATAAACACCAAATCAAATAAACAATACACAAAAAACAGAAAGCTCCTGATTTTTACCACTATAGAAATTTAGGCGTTTTTAAAATATATTACTAATATTTAGGTATTTATTCACAGACAAAGGAAAAAAACATTCTGTCAATTAACAAATTTTTTAAAAATTTTATACCAAACTTTTTCTGTAATTTTACAAATTTATTTCGAACAATTTAAACCCAAAGCAGCATAAAAAAAAGCTTGGATCTTATCAGTACCTCAGCTGCTTCCTTGATTTGCTTGCTGGAGACGTCGTAGATGTCGAGTCGCTGGAGGCTTGGCACGTGGTAAAGAATGTGCGTGTCATAGTTACAAAGGAGGCACACCGGGTTTGGGGTTGACGTGGGGTCTTTCAATGCTAACTCACTCAGACGGGGCAGTCGGGCAAGCTGGCTCAACTCCTGTTACAGGAAAAGATTCAAGACTCAAGGTCAATTTTAAGGCTTTTATAATGGGCAGGCCTCAGCTTACATCAACAATCCCATTTGTTCACATCCAGCTCCCAGATCTCTCCGATCCTACTGGCAGAGATCTTTTACACATGCCAAGGTCATGTTTCAAACAAAAAGGTGACAGAGCCTTTGCAGCCGCTGCTCCACGTTTATGAAATCAATTACTGCATGACATAAAAAGACCCCCCCCCCATCTCTGCTTTTAAGTCTAGGCTCAAAACCACCTTATTCTCTGACCTTTCCAGTCCACTAAGCTCCCCTCTGCTTGTTGTCGTTATGTGTCTGCACATTTGTTGTTAGCCCTTTAATCTGTACTCTGTCTTCAATTTTTACTTTTTTATTTGATGTTTGTAATTACATGTGGATGCATGTATATAGGATTAGATCATTTGTACAAAACCGGGTCAGTGTAAGCTATGTTTACATGTGACTTCTAAATAAATATTATTTACTTACTAGGACAGCAAAGTTTCTGCATATCCTAAGTACGTTTACCCTAAAGGACACTATTTTTTTTTTGTTCTCAACAGAAACAGAAAATTTGAAGTATTTTAAACAAAGACAATGACACTGCATATATTTCCCCCCACTATATGATAAATTACATTTCCAGAAGTCACTGCAATATTAGTAATTATAAAGAAATTGTCTTGATCGCTGCATACTGAAATAGATGTTTCAATACATCATCTTGACGATAGCACTTCTATTCTTCTCTACATTACCTACACTTAAGAAGAGCTAAAAAATGATGTCACATTGTATTGACATGGTGGCGAGATTTTTTTCTTGATCCTGCAGTTACGGTGGGGTCTTTAGAGTGAATGGTGATAATCATGTTTTTTATAACAAGCCGGGTGCAGAGGAAAAGGTGGAGATCTCGTTACGTCAATCAGAGAAGGAAACAAAAAAACTTTTCTGCGTTTCTTGACAAAATGACCTTGAACAACAATGATCAGAGTCATCTGAATGAGCCAACAGGTACACCATTAAATGTATAATATAAAACTGCCGATTTGAAAAACAAAACAAAACAGGAAAACCTATGTAGTCTTTTAGGAATGTATATCACTAAACTTATAATGGCAGAAATCAAAATTATACTGCCTAATACCTTATTGAAGGTCTTATTGAGACAGCATATTGTTGTAATGATTGAAAATCTGAAAAGACCCAGACCTCAACGTTTCACAAGAATTCAGGAATGCCCTTTGTCAAGCCACAGATTTGAATAAGATAATAAGCTGGTTTAGGGCTAAAGGTGGATTGCAGGAACAAGATCTGAGGTGTTAAACCAATCAGTCACAGAGATACGAAAACCTTTGTGCTTGCTTTCAAAATGTCCTTGAAAAAACAATATTCACGTGTGCTGTGAAAGCGCGTCTCAGCTGAAGCATGCCTAAAATGTGTAACTAACACAAACCTGCGCATTAAAAAAAAATACTCTTAGGCATACTCCTAAGATATATTTAAATAAATGCATTCATGAATGTATATCATTGAATGAGGAATGGGGGAAAAAAATTGAAATTATGGCACACAATGCCTCAATAAAGGTCTTGCGTTGCACGCCTGTTGTTGAAATGATTGAAAATGTGAACTAGCCGAGACCCCGGCATTCGCCCAAGAATTTAGAAATGCCCTTTTGTCAGACCAAGGATTTTAATAAGATTTTACAAAATAAGTAAGAAAAGTTTTTAGAGAAAGTATTTCAAAAGCATGTTTTCATTTTGAATCTTACCTTAAAGGAGCTGATCTTGTTTCCAGACAGATTGAGTTTCTGAAGGTTGACATTAAGATCAAGGCTGTGCCCTTAGAAGAAGTTAAAAATTATTTGATTGCCATCATTATTTTTCACATAGCTTGCCGAATCTCCATCAAACTGAACACAAATTACTCTGAGAACATACCGATCTTTTCAATAATGTTGTCAGCAAGGTTTAGTTCTTTAAGGTCTAGAAGTGTGTCCAAGCCCTTTAGGAGAAAAAAAACAACAACAACCACATGTGGAGACCAAGTGAAGCCTTTCTGAAGGTCTTTCAAAGTTAACTTTGGAAATTGGCCGATTTTTCACTCTTTTTCAGTCCAGTCATTATACCCGATCATTTTCAGAACAATGTTTGTTTGTTTAGCCACTCATAACTGACCCATGAGTCATTCGAGTATTTGAAAAAAGCACCTACCTCATGGGATGAACCAGTGTTGTCTCTAAGCACTTTTTAAATTGGTTCTTTACACAAAAAAAAGAGAAATCCAGACAAGTGGAGGGGGAAAAAAGACCTTAAAAAACTATCTACACCATCTGAAATTGATGGAATTATTTAGGCAGAAATGTACCATCAGCCTTTGAGCCACCATCCAATACCATCTGGAAAGTATCTGATTGACTACTGCTTCATTTTCCAGCAATGATCCCAAACACAATGCCAATGCAGTAAAGGTCTACCTTGTCATACTAAGATGGTCATATCAAATATTGACTTTCAAGCTTTTCAGAATTCTACAAACTCTGTTTTGACATATATTATCATATATATTTGCATGTTTCAATAAATTGATGCACCTGCTGTATTTCCCATTTTCCTAGCAAAATATAAAGAAATGAGTGGTGGCCCACAACTTTTGCACAGTACTATGTGTAAAAGAGCAGTTTTGTTCTGCTAAATATTTAAAAATCTTGCATTACAAACACACCACAGAAAAGCCAAGGAGATACAGCTCTAACCTTAATCTTAGTTATGCAGTTGTTATTGATCCACAGCACCTCTAGGTGGACCTGCAAGTCCAGATTCTTTATTTCACTGATTTTGTTCTCATAAAGGTACAGTTTCTCCAGCTGCAGGCAGTTCTGTAGTCCAGATATTTCCTGCAATAAAGAGAAAGTAGATTGTTTGATGCATGTGGCACAAAACACACATGCTTAAATGTGCATGCGACACCTGTTTATATCAGTCCTCATATAGTTCATATTTCTTTCACGGTTTTCAGACTTTTTGGGACAAAAAAAAAAAATCAGTGTATCCATGCACTTCCTCCTTTTTCAATCCAGCTCATTCATAGTTATCACCCTGCCTGCAGGAACACCTGCACGTGTGTCTTTGTCAGCTGGGGATAATTATGCTTAACACACACGATTCAATGGTGGTGTGAACTAATATTTCATATTTTATAGGTGAAAAGACCCATTACTAAAGAATCTTCACTTGCATCCACATAGCAAAATATCTAAAGGACAGGAATGATTCAAGCTATCACCAGTTGTTGTTACCAGCATTTATTAGCATAGCAAACACACCGTCAGATGGCACTGGACTATCCAGAGCTCCTGAAGCAGAGGACAGCACTCAAGCCCATCAATGTACTCTATGTTCTGGCCTATTATGGTAAGCTGGGACAGCCTTGGGAAAAAGGAGAGGCCAACCATGCAGGGGAAACCAGAGAAGAACATCTCCAGTGATGTGATGCTGCTTCCCTCTTGTGCAATTTTTTCATAGGGGACTCCATTAGCCATGCACTGTTAATTAAAAACAGTAAAGAATGAAGTAAATAGAAGAAACCCGCACTGATTTTTGTATACGTATTCAAAACTGAATATTTATGTGATAGTTACCAGTTTTTTGATCACTTCCTCTTCACTGCGGTTCTTTTGCTTCTCATTTGACAACATATCGCTGCAATTAATTAAAAATATGTTGCTGAAAATATCCTGCCTTATTTTTACTGAGAGACAAGTTAAAGTAGAGCGTTAGTACAGGCAAACCTACCTGTAATAACTGAGGTCAGCAAGTAAGAGTACGAAGTCACCACACATCAGCGCTAGCTGTGCTAGCTTCTAACGTTGTGCTTGTAAATAGTAAGTACGACAGAGGACCGCTTAAATATCAGGCGGCTAAATTTAGTGTACATCTAAATCAAAATAATTTTCCATGGAGAACTGAACAGCAGCAAACCTCGCTGATTGCTTTAGCCAGTGTTAGCCATCAGTCTGTATCCAGGCAAGAGCGTCTGGTTGCTAAGACAGACTGAAACTTTTTGAGGTCCTGCTCATATTAAAAGCGACCGCATGAGGGCGCCATATGGCAAGGGACATTTTTTTAAACATCAAACCATAAAATTCACACTACTATTTCTCCATTTAAAACATCACCATGGGATACATGAGGAATTTTTGCCACTTTTAAAAAAATAAAAAAAATATTCTTTTCGCATTATTAAAAAAACATCTTTATTATTCTCCTCTTTAGGCCATGTGTCCAGTTTTAATAAGCTAACTGTCGCTATTTTCACAAACCAATGCTAAGCACTGGTTTGACTGAATCCTCTGACCTCATTTATAGGCCGAAAACACCTTTTTGATCTTTGACTGTGTCCCAAATAAAGTGGTGCCAACCGTAAGGGCTCGCGGACACTATGACGTCAGCGTCGGAGCAGTGAACTAAAACAATCAACCTCACTCCTTCTGCTTCTCCTCTCACTCCCGACTGCACCGCCTCATCTGTGGCGTCCACGAACCCCGGTCTCAGCTGACAGACGCCAGCCAGGAGCCGCACTATTGTTGTTGTTGTTGTTGTTGCGCGATTTTCTCCGTCACACATCCTAGCGCAAACGATTACGGCAGAGAGAGAAGCGGCAGCAGCTTTGTGTAGCTAGTATAATATCATCTGTCCGACGACAGGAAAAAGGCATGTCTGCGCAGCCCGGTGAGGAGCTAGGCTCGGAGGGGAAGTGGTTTGGGGATGACTATGAGAGGAACGGCCTGTTTGGTAACACACAGAGCCGCTTCGGCGAGCTGCGCGAAGAATTGAAGCCGAGAGGCAGCGACGCGTTGGGCGACCTGGATCAACAATTTCATCCTTTCCAGGACGACGGGAAAAGGCCTCCCGTTGCTATGGAAACTGCATCTACAGGTAAAGCTTGCACTTATTGCCCTTAAATGCTTAAATATGTGACAGTTTATAATCAGTCTAGCCACGTTACGTGTCTTCTTTTTCAGAAGGTAACAGGACGATGTTACGGTGTGAATAAATACAGTGTGAGGGACGCGGGCGAGAGCATTTATCAGAGAATTAGCGTTACGACAGACGGCTTGTCTGTAAGCCCGGGATAAAACTTCCGAGCTCGAAAACAAAAACAAAGCCAAGAGGAAGCAACTTCAGTGATGCCGTAGGGGGAAAAAATGGCAGACATATTTCCAAACTAAACTCGGCAACAGCCCTTTATAGTTATGAAACGTCATATAGCTCATGACCGAGTGGTTTTCCGCTCAGGAGACAAGAATCTGCTTGGATGAAGGCAATACCAAATAGCCTGTTGAACTCTGAATGGCCTGTTCACTACCATAACTACTGTATCATCTCGCACATGTGGGCTAGGTCTACATCTATATTAGAAATATTTGCTTGTTGAGAAGGTGAGGCCTTAGCTTACAAAGCCAGTGTCTGGATAGAAAGAGAACAGCTTAATCCCTAAGCATAAGATTTCATTAGTCCAGTAACAAAACTAAAAATACAAAAAAGAATGGGTAACAGAGAGGACACGTTTATAACATAGATGAATAAACATGAAAGAACCTAATATAAATGATAAGAAGAAGAAGAAGAAGAAGAAGAACTCACGAACTAGATGAGTTTGGAAAGGTTTTGGGAACTTTAGGGGAGGTGTTGTCTGTCTTTTATATTTATGCATATTAAAAAAAAAAACAGAGAGAGAGGGGTTACATGATGCATCACAGTTTTTGTGTGCACCTCCGTGGATAGTGTCAGTGATGTCATCACATTGCTGGATGCTGGACTTTGTGATAAGATAACGCAGACCTTGGTTCTGGATCTGTCGTCATTCTCCTTAGCACTGCTCAGCTCATGCTGCTATTTTTAATCCTTAACAGTGTTCACTGTTCGCTTGGCGAGCAAAACTAGAGCCCTGCACTTTTATTCACCAATCCACTGAAAAATTCATGAGCTTGTGCTTTAAAAAAAGAAGAAAAAAAAGAGCTGCCCAGTTTTTCTCCTTGCTGCTCAGGTTTTTCACATTTCACTTGCTGCTGCTTCTGCAGCATCTGCTCCAAAACAGAAAAGAAAACACCTAGCCACTGGTAAATCCTTTAAGGACAACAGCATAGCTGAATGCTTAAATTGGACTTAAATTCTTTGATGCACAGAGTTGTCCATGGCAGTATCCAAATCTGAATTGTGCAGTAGGAAAACCGCTTGGAAAATTGACATAAAACACACAGAAACACCGCTGAAGCGTTTAAAGCAAGTCAGTGTGACATTTTAAACTGGCTTGTCAGCGTTTGTCCTCGTGTTCTAGAAGACGTAAACAGAGCACTTGCTCTACTTTTTGGCATTCTGTGCCAGACAGGCTCAAACATGGGTAGGTGCATGCAGACAAACACACACACACACACTTTGTTTTGGTTCCTAAATGAGGAAAAGAATAGCTTTGTGCTGTTCCTCGGACTCCCATTGAGCCGTATCCATACCAGTGAAGTAATCCACTTTGTCAGTTATGTTCTTGGTGGGAACAGTGCAGATCTCATCACATCTAGCAGGGCAGAGAGGACGTTTCACTCTTATGTAGTCATGTTATCGTCCAGTCTGATCTTTGTCAAAGACATTCACTCCTAAAAGTCCACTCATGCTTTTCTTTTTCTCTTCTCTGCGTTGCTGAAAAATAGTTTTGAGGTTGGAATTTTTTTAGCTTTGAACATAATGAGATTGGAAACGTATCTTTCTGCAGATAATCAATCCATGTCTGTTCTAAATCATGTTCACAGCTCTGATGTACCCACAGACCCCGATAATGCTGATTTCAGCCGTATTAAATCACCACAGGGCAGAACCTTATCCTCGGATCGGATAACCTCTTTGATCTAAAAGTTTCCCATCCTATAAAAGTTTCAAGAGTCACGAGAAAAGGAAGGAGCGGAAGGAGCTCTGACCAGTTCTGATGTGCTGCGAGAACACAACAGTTGGGTTTGGTTTGTTCTGTAGCAGATGGTGTTTCTGATAGCTTGGGCCTGATTTCTGCCAGTGAAGAAAAAAAACTGAGCACATAAGATACACAAACAGTGACACTGCCTTTACCTTTTCATAACTCCTCCTGGTGCATCATTTTATCACAACCTGAAAAAGCATATCGGTCATAAGAAACTTTCTGCTCCAATCCAGTGGCTGATGGGTGGATTAGATTCATGTTTTTCTCCTTTTAGCACAGATCAGTGACAAGGATGAGACAGCATATGTCTGGCTGGGACTTTTCCATATCTTTGAGATAGAAAAAGCACTTAGTGGACTGCATAAGCCAGCACAGTGCTTTTAGCCGTGAGAGCTGTTCCCAAGGGGAGGGGGGAGGGGGTAAGCAGTACAAGGTCTTTTCAGAGCAGATGATAAAGATGCAAGATAAAATAAGAAAGAAGGGGGCTTAATGGTTAGAGAGGTGAAGCTGTGATGACAAGGCTGGTGTTTCAAAAGGCTGGCGTGATGGGAAAGATTAAAAATATGATAGACAACACTTTCCTTTAAGGTTAACTTTAACTTGGTGTCTTATGGTCATCTGTGAGTGTTTCTGCTGTTGCATGAGCCTTACATATCTTAGTAATAGTTCATTTGTCCACCTTTTCTTCAGCAATCTTGATAACTCAGTCAAACTTGGTGGATGCAATGCTGAAGAGCCGAGCAAGTGCGTTGATGAACCTGAGGTTTAGTGCATAATTGCCCATATTCCGGCTGCAAGTTGCTGTCTGTTACCCATGCTTCCCGTATATTGCCCGCTGACTACTCCATTCTGTGTGTAGGAGGAGTGGCATCCACAATCGCCACGTTCTCCACGGCAATGTTTATATTCAATTAATGCATCCTTATGCCAGTCCTCTTTTCACAACCATAATTTTTAGCTTGTCTTTGTGTGACACATTTAGGAGACATCTGTAAATTGTAGCTTTAAAGAATTAACCTGGGTTGCAGTCCTTCTGAGTTGGCGCTAGTTTTAATAATGTGTAATCTGGATTTACAGTGTCCTGGACCTGTTACCTAATGCTGAGGCATATAAGGACAAATAAAGGTGTGGTAGACCAAACTCAAGAAGCTCTTTTGAAGAGGGACCATATGAAAGCATTAGTGCGCTCATTATATCAATAAGTCAACATTTTAGATCCCATGTGTTCACCCGGAAGGCAATTCAAAGCCAACATGTGAAACATGATGCCATGTATCTGATCTTACCAGCTCTCTAGCGCTGAGCAGAGAGTCCTGAGTAATCCCTGGGCATAGTGCGAAAGTGCTCTCGGGATTAGAATTACTATCAACAAAGGCACTCACAATAAGCATTGACCATTAGGATTTTTTTGTGTGTGGGCGTGTAAATTATAGTAGCCTTTGTCAGCTTGCCTTCCTACCTGCATCCACACTTTTAAAAGCGAATTGCTGTTTCAAAGTCACGCTAAATTGACCCGAAGAGAGCGGTGTGCAGACGCTCGGTCTGGATCCTCCCACATTCTCTCTATTCATCCATAAAGCTTCATCCAAGCAGGAAAGATAGAATCAATACACTGGAAGACAAGCACTGTATAACAGCTACAGTCTAAATGGGGATAGATTTTATTTAAACTGCCTCTAAATGGATTTATTTTTGACAGAGGCTGCTGGAACAATAAAAATTGTCCTGGTGGCCTTAAGTGATTTTTTTAAACAGTGGTGGATTCACCAAACATTTCTTACAGTAATTGTATGCCCTTGTCATTTCGGATCAATGCAGCAGAGCACTTGAATCCATCTGCCCAGCTGCTCTCCTATCGACCTCAGCTCTCAGTATAGGCTGTTTTTGTGCTCCCCTTTTTTTTTTTTCTTTACCATCATTAAAATGTGGTACTCAGTGATTGGTATTCATCTGCTTGTACATGAACTTAAATGTAATAGCCAGAGCTTTTAGAGCCAGAGACCATTACAACTTTAACTTCATTTAAACACTGACATACAAAAGACTCGATTTAGAAATCTATTATTATACCAGCTACCAGGAAATCATAGTGAATCCTAGAGTTATAATTTCAATCATCCACATCAATCACAAAAGGCAAATACTTAACTTTCTTCATAAAATACCACCAGTTAGTTAAATAAATTTACCAGCATGTAAACCACTTGTGCTCTGCTAACACACTTACAAAACCCAATAAAGGGAAACAGAAGAATAAAAACAAGTGAATAATATGCGCTTCCATGTACTTTTGGCTTATTTAAATGTTTTGTAATGTTGACACATGCACATGTCTTTGGATATAGTCCATGTTTAGCATGTTTTTGTACAGTTTTTGTCTTTCCGGTAAAGAAAGGACAACTTGTAAGAAGTTCAAGCCCCAAATGCACAGATGGGTTGAAAGAAGAGCACTGTAATAGAGCCATTTCCACAAGGTCATATGGTGAAAGAGAACACCTGAAAAGTAACACCATTGCTCAGAGGGTCATCGGTGGTGTAATGGATTCGTAACAGAGCTGTGAAGTCAGAGATGCCTAAAGGAGAAGCTCAAATACACTATATGTTTTTGAAGAACTGCACTTTTGGGGGGGTTGGGATTTTACCTCCATACACCACAACACTTGAACTCAAACAATAAAGATTATTTTAAGTGTAGACTGTCAGCTATAATTCAAAAGTATTGCCTTAACTGACGTTTGATACACAGTCCCCAATATTTAGAAGTTCAAAATGAATGGAACAACCTAAAAATTTTAACTATAAAGATTGTTATTTATACTTGGATAAAAATCTTTTTCAGTAAATGACTGGCTGATGTCACATCACCACATGTTGTGTTTCCTCCTAAGCTTGTCTCTCTGCCTTAAGTTTGGTCTCCAGTAACTAAAAAACATTCTGTTGGGTTGAGATGAGGTGACTTGGTCATTGAAGA